CCATGTGTAAATCTGTAAATTAAACCTTTCAGGGATTTAAAAATATTGAAGGTTGTTTGAGTTGATAACCTCAATTTGCTGATTCTGTGTCTCTAAAACAAGTTCTCTGTCATTAGATTACCTTCCTCCTTTTGCTAGAAATACAAGGGTTGAGTTCATCTGAATTGAGGCATATAACTCTAAAGCTCTGCATTTGAAGGTAGAGATTCGATTTTACTGGTTTGATTGGGTTTTCCAGAATCTCTGATTTTGATAAAATTAAGTTGATATTATGCTTCATATGAAACTTTCTTTTAACTCAAATATAAATTTTAAGAATCTAGGAATTGTTTGTATATTTTTATCTATTTGATGATGGATTTGTTCATCAAATGCAAAAGAAGATTTTATAATTTCTAGGAATATTGGCTTGGACTCTTCTAGATTTTGGCATGGTTATGTTTTTCTAGTATATGTATGGTTTTTTTCTTAGTTGGTGGTTTGATTTGCTGAGTAAAGGAGGTTGGGTTGTGATTTTATGGCTTGTTTAGTATATGCAGTTGTCAGTCTCTTTCGTTTGTTAATCCCTTCTCATCTTAGTTGTGGGTTTGAAGACTTTTTTCTGGTCTGCTTCTATTCTCTCATCAGTTGCTATCCCCGTGATATTGGATTTGAGAAGATATCACTATGAGTTTCATTTTGATTTTCTACTTCCATTTTAATTATGATGTTGTGAGTTAGATTATGAGAATTTGAATCTCATAACGAGATTAAGGTTATATATGTATATGGATTACTAGGTTTTACATTTAAGTTTGCTTATTATTTAGTGATTGTGAGAATATGAATCTGATGGTGATTATGCCATTATTATGGTTTACAATTAAGTTCAGTTATTGGTTCGTGCAAACTAACTTCTGGGTTCTTGAGTTCATGTAATATTCTATATATACCCATTAGTATTAATTTTATAGATCTTTTTCAAGTTCTTGTTATTTGAATAATTTCATGTGTTTGAGAATTTTTCTTAAATTTTGTTGGTTTCAATTCAATGTTGTATGTTGGTTTTAATTCAATGTTGTATGTTGATTTCGAGTTCTAATTCAGGATAATGTTTGTCTCTTTACTGTAACTCTTACAAGTGACAGAATTTTTCATAGAGAATTTTCTTGATATATATATATATATATATATATATATATATATATATATATATATATATATTTAAAATAAGCAATTGCATTGAAAAAGGATTAAAGCCTATACATTATACAAGTGGCATCCCTTGGTGAAAACCCCAAACCCATTAAATACAAAGGAACCAATCACACCAGCTCACAAGACTTACAAAAAATAACCCACCCCTACTGTAATGACAAAAAAAGTTACAATTGGAAGCAAAAACAACAAGCATAACATCCCAACAATAGAAATAGAGACAGATAAAACTACATCCATAGGACCAGGACATAGAACTCACTAAAATATAAAGTATATCCATAAACCAGAAAATCCAAACCATAAATCAAGAGAAAACAGAACCAAGCCATGTATTAGTCATGGAATACTTAACATCATGAATAGAGAAGGCTCTCAACTGAACTGTTCTAATAATCCTCTGCTGAATTGAAAATATATCAGAAACCTTATTATTGTACCATCTTTGATTCCTTTCCAACCAAATATACTTAAACACTAGTAGCCAATAGCCATCTATTAATTAAAAAAACAAGACAAACTACCTTTCAAGGTAACATTCCCCCACAGAATAAGACCTTCCCAATGAGTGAATTATTTTCTTGATAATTTTACTTTAAAGGTAATGGTATGACATTTTTTAGTCTAAATCCTTTTTAGACTTAGGATGCTAGATGCTTCCATGCTTTGGGAAAGATTTTTGATGATAAGGTCTGTTTTGGAATAAATTGTAAGTCTGAGATTGGTTCTCAATCATTAGCTCTGACTAATAGGGTTTGGTATTGCAATTGTTTTGCCATCCCTCCTGCAATTCTAAATATTACTTGGAAGTTTTTTCTTCTGAACATCATAATAAAATTTCAAAATTCCTATTGGAACTTTCTCATATGTATTTTCAGTTTTGTTATCTGTTGAATAGATCATAATCAAAACAAGCTTAAGCTTCTCAAACACTCAAAAGTTTGGAATTTTTTATGAGAAATGTGATCTGAATGTTTGCACTCCTCATTGTCAATTACTCTTAAATGGTAGTATGGGAGATTAGAGAGAACTGTACCTTTTTTAGTCTCTTGGCATTTTTTTTTTTTTCCTGAATGTGGCATAGGACTTTCATTTAAAAGAGAAGTAAGAGTACAAAAGATCAAGATGAGGCATACCCCTCTGAACATGGCAAGAAAAAGAGATCCATTTCTAATAGAACCAAAAATGAAAGGGACTCAAATACAAGACTTACACAAATAAAAGGCTAAAATAAAATGGATAGGTCCTATATAGAAAGTTGCAGTAGTAATAAAACCCATTTGACCTATTTAGTCTGGGCATTAATTTTAATAATGCCTAAGAACCCATTTGTGATAACCATAAGTAATATAAATGAATTTACTGATCTACATGGCTGATAGTGGTGGTTGCTTGGGTTGATTGATTGATTTTCATTAATGATGGGTTGTGTTGAAAGATTTTCAAAGGGTAACTAAGACATATTTTACTTCAATAATTCTATGGAGTAACCCTAACACACAGAGAGTGAGATATCGGATTCAACAGGCCTAGAGCTTTGTTTCAACTTGATTACTTTCATACTATCCTTATGGTTATAGACAGTATTATTTACAAATTTATAATACACACCAACACACGCATTAACAAAAAAGGCAGATCCAGATTATGAGATCACACTAATCTCCTATCATTTCCTCATACAAGTCAAAATAAATGAATCAATTTTTAATTAAAGAAACCAAACAAAGCACTAAAACACACATTGAAAATTTTTCACATTTTCCTATGCACCAATAAAACAAAATACAACCCTAAAATACCAGGCTTCTCAATCACTTCATGCTTTCCCCCTTCACTCCTTTTCTAAATTTAATTAGACATATTCTTCTTTCCTTTTTTTATTTTTTTTTAATATCTATGAAAGGATCAAGACAAGTAAAATGTGTGACATGTGCGTGTAGTGTTGTTACTCCACAACAGCCAGAGCAGATCATGTGGTAGTCAAATTCAATATGTAGTACTTCATATCTACTTCACATACTTTGATTTTTGGACCCATCTTCTATTGAATTTAAAAATAAGAATATAAATAGCACCTGCCTGCCCTTTGCATGATCCTTACAGGTTATTAGTTGCTTACTGGAACGGTATCATGTTTATTGTGTGTTTGTATATATACATGTGTGTGTCGACCCTGGTTTTTAGGCCAGCGTGTCCTATGATGAACAGTAAGGATGATCCGATAATGGATTCGAATGCGGAAGCGAAAACAGAAAACAAGACTCTAAGAAGTCAAAGTGACCTTCCATGAGGTTGTGGAACTCAACAAGAACTGATGCGGAAGCAAAAGATCGAAAATATGACAAATAAACCCCCAGGGGTAAAATAGTCATTTTTGAAAAATGTGGATTCGGGTGCCACCGGGTACATTGCTGGAAAGACAACAAAAAAATAATCAGGAGGGACTCAAGAATCGCATGATTCGGAGTCCAGACAAAGGAGAAACTGCCTGACGAAGAAAAATGAGCACTTAAGGCCAAATGGGTAAAATGGTCATTATCCAAGAAGATCTGGGTGCAACCGAGCACACCGTTGGAAAGACAGCGAAAAATTAGTCAAGTTCAAAAAAAAGTTCACTCGATTTGGAGTCCGGACGAGGGAGAAACGAGGGTTTGAAGTTGAGACGTCGCAGCGGCCCGACGAAGGCCATGGCGCACACGGCGCCCATGCGCGAGCCCACAGGCGCGCATGCCGGCGCCCAAAGACATGGCTAGTGGCAGCCCTTGGCTGCTGCTACATTTTTTTTTTATCTGCCCAAAACTGAGGCTTGAAACGGAAGTCAAGACGAGTTTTTCTGGAAAAACATGAAGAAGAAACCCCCCCTAAAATCGAGTTTTCTACCCGACATCGTGAACGGAATCAAAAAAAACTCACTCTGAAATCCCCAAAATACCCCTAGATCAGAACTGAACAAGAGGGTTAAAAGTTGCTACATTGACTGTCTGCAACTGAGAGCAAAAACGGGCTAGAAGATGAATTTTTCTGGAAAAACACAAAGAAGAAACCCCCCTCAAAATTAAATTTTCTACTTGACTAATGAGAGAATTAAAAAAAAAAATGCAATGTAGAATGCCCAAAATAACCCTCCATGAAATCTGGTCATGGAGGTCTAAAAAGCTGCTAAATTGAAAAACTGAGAGCTGAACTTCGTAAGTGATTTCCGATATCAAGATGACATTTTCTGAAAAAATACAGAAAAGAAACCCCCCCTAAAATCATGTTTTCTATTCAACCATGTTGAAAGAAGAAAATAAAACCACCGTGAAAGGTCCATAATGCCCTTAGATCAGAATATGCAAAAAATATGCGAAATGAATTCACAAAAGGCTCAAAACACAAACGATAAGGTTTTGTCCGAAAACGACCATGCACGCAAATGTAACTTACCTATTTGGACGTGATACAATGGTCCATGACTTAAAAATACCACCAATACAAAATCTGACCCCCAACGGGCAAAAAGGCAAAAATGGAACTTGGAATGAAAACTCGGAATCCAAAAATACAAAACGGGATCAAATGACCGTTTGGCCCTTGGCCACACTTCAAACATGATTTATAAGACCCTATGAAAGAATGAAAACGGAATTCCCACACCCGATGCAACCATGGTAAAGCAATGACTTGCGATTTTTCAAGATTTTCACAATATTTCATGAAGTTAAAAAGTACATAGAATACAATATAATTGTCATTGGCCTCCGGCCTCATCTCATACATATCAAATACATTGAAAGAAGTATACTTAAATACACATTACATACATGGAATCAAATATACATATTTTGACATATAAGTCTACAAAATGACATTTCATGCTAACATTTGCATGAAATGGAAACTTGAAAGCTACACGACATTCAAGGAATGCTAGGCATCACGAACCAAGGCTTCGTACCTGAAATATGCCCCAGTATCGTAGGGGTGAGTAACATAAAGCTACTCGTAGGAGATGAGCATGCATCGACCTAGCATTTTACAAATTTATCACCTTAAGGTGAAACATATTAAAGGGGCTCATGCCACCTAACGTCTATGTCCAAATGAGACTTGGAGAGCATCCTAAGCTACCTTAGAGTCTAAGCAACAAGAATCATGATATACCTACGTGTATGAAACGAATCATGGTTGGGATAATCTAAGAACACAACAAGAAGAATGATTGAGCATAGATTAACATGAATTGCATTTTCAATACAATTGAACTAGGTCTAGAGTAATCCATATAACATGACAAAAGCATATTTGAATACAAGTTAACAAGAATCACATTATCCATGCAATTCAACAACAAAAGAGCATGTTATACAATGCAATAAGGTTTAAGTTCTCAAAGCCATCAACTTAGAATCTAAAGCACAAAATAATAGTAGTGGTTCATGCCACCTAACGTCTATGTTATAAATGAATCAATAGGATCAATCCTAAGCTTTATTAGAACGTCAAAACACGATTTTCAATATCGATGCAATTTAACCAACATTGGAACTTGCAATACAACGCATAAAGCACAATTTCGCAAAGTTAACATCCTGTAACTTGAAATGAAACGACAAATAAGAAACAACAAGTTACAACATCATCTAGTTATCAACTTGAAAATGAAATGCGAAGTCAAACAAAGTGGATACTCGGACATCACGCCGAATCATATAGAGGGACTATCCCCCGTACTAGAACCACGTCCTAGCCATAGTCAAACAACGACATCCCCAAGTTTCCAAAATCAACAAGTTGTGCAACAACGCATATATCAACAGGAATATGCAAGATAATCAACTATCTACTAAGCACAACCAAATCTGGAAACCTATACAATACATGCTCTAAATCCACAACTAATATGATATGATGAATGTCGAATCTTCAGTGTGCGATTCGTTCCACGCTATGCATGAAAGATGTTAAACATGAAGTATGCAAATCATTACGCAAGGCAACAATATATTCAATAAGGAAAACATATTATCACGAATACAAACATAGCAACTATGTTATCCAATGTTCAAAACATAACCAAATGAATATACAACAAGTCTAAGTCCATGATTTGAATATAGAAACCACTTCTAAAACACAACTAGATCATGGAGCAAATTGATAGAATTTAAATAGATAAACACAATTAAATTATAGATTCCGATTCAATTCCAATTAACCTCAATTTAACACATGTTAAAGGACATGGCAAGGTCATCCCCTATATTCATTCTAAAACTCAATTAGGTTGCTAGAACAAGAAAGTAGAACTTTAATTAAATCATGCTAATTTAAATCCCAAGGTTCTAAAACAATTTCAGATAGTCCCAAATTAATATATACTAGTAAACAAGTCATGGCCAATACAAATATCAAATTAAAACTTTAATTAGGCTAATGGGACCGCAAAATAGATTTTAATTAAATCTCTAGATTTTTAAATTTAACCAAATGCTCTCAATTTAACATATCTTAGAAAATATTCCAAAGACTAATGTAATATCACATTACAAATTTATTTCATTCAATTTAAGACCATGTGACTTAACCTTTCACTAAAGTTAAATATAAATTAAAAGTTGCAATTCTCATGCAATTAATCCCAATTTAATATATGTGAACAACTACACCAAAGCTTAATTTTCTAGCATGCCATAATTCAATTCCAAGTTGTATATCACCATGAGGATTAAATCTTAAACAATGAAATTAATTAAATGAAAGGTTTCAAAACCTCACCGAATATTCTAAATCAAATATATGTGAAGCTATATGGCATGTAGATCAAGAATATCAAGTCGGAATTTAAATAGAGTGAATAGTGCACTTGGGGCAAAATAATTAATCTAATTAATTAATAATTACTAATTTTCAAAATACCTCCAATCACTTTCAAATTCAACTATGTTGAAGAACATGCTAAGGCCTAATATAATATGCTAACACATATTAATTTCAAGTTAGTTAAGGCCATGTGAATTAATCTTTCACCTAAGATAAATATTAAATAAAATCTTTAATACTTATTCAAATGTTCCAATTTTAATACACGACAATGAGCATATCAAGAGGCAATATAAAATCATACTACATATTTAAACCAAGTTATGAGCAATCGGGAAAATTAGATCCCGTACAAGAAAAATAAATAATAAAATCTCTAAATTTTATATTTCATCATGCAAACAAGTAGTATAAGCATTACAAGCATGCTATATAACAAAAATTTAAACCTAGAACATCTCATACCTCAATTTGAGATGAAAATCCCAAAGGCACACCAAAATAAAAGTGCCCCGAATTCGACGATACCGAGAGGTTTTGTCGGGGACAACACCGTGAACAAGAATCCGCAAGAAGCCCCATGAAAATCCAAACTTGGCCTCAAACCCAAACTCAAAACTTGGCCAAAAATGGTTTCTAATAAGGGGTAATGGTAAAGCACGATGAGGCGAACAACAAATGCTAAGGCAAAAGGATTTCTACCAAGGAAATCAAGTGGAGGAGAAGAAAGAGTGAAGGCAGCCCCTTGGGCTCCCATGGCTGCCAGCCAAGAGGAGGAAGAAGGTCTGAAAATCTGATTTTAAAAATTAGGGCAACCTATTTATAGAAATCTCAAAAAGTGCCCTAAAAGGGCCCCGCTGGGTCCAGAAAAGTGGATTTTGAGCAAACGCGCTCAAATGGCAAAACTCCATGAACAAAAAAGATTTAAAATAAGAAAATATGAACAACGAAAAAAATGGCGTCAAAAACTGAGTCCCGAGCAGAAAGTTATGCCCCGAACAAGTTCGGCGGTAACCGGGTCCAGAAACTCTGAAACTGGAGAAAAACGACCAGAACGGAATTCTATGAATTTACGAGCCAACAAAAAGTAAAAATGAATCTCGTATGAGGATCCAGGCTCCAGACGAGATATTTTGCAATAACTTTCGTTAATTCAACAATGGCCCCTACAAAAAGGGTTAACTGCGAAACTGCCCCAGAATGAATATATCTTCCAAAAGATATTTTCTTAAATGCCTCTGAAATAAAATATCTTCAAAATAAATTTATGAAAAACACCCCAAGAAATGAAAAGGATTCTAAAGAATTGTGCATCCATGCCCCTATGGACACCGGGAGCAACTAGAGTACTTTTTTGCAAAAGTAAAGATACGTATTTCGAGAAAACCACTCAAGATGAAGGCACGTGAAGTCAAAAACCAAATCCGAGCATGAGAAGTGAGGTTGTGCCAAAAACTGACAAACAAAGATAAGACGAAATAGGAAAAATGACAGAATAGGGAAAAGACGAAATAGCGCATAGTGTCCGAAAAACGAAAAATGCGAAAATAACTCGGTCCTCAAAGGAAGTTGTCAATTCACATGAAAGAGTCTCAGAAACCAATTCTGAGCACTCGAGATGACACTAAGCGACACAAAACAAAGCTCAGAAAGGAAAATTAAACGAAAAAAATTCATTCGTAAAATTTCAGGAAAAAGGAAAGGAAGGCAAATGACCGGGTTGTTACAATGTGTGTTTGTTTGTGTGTGAAATCTGTCGATACCATTATTGGTGCATACTATTTTAAAAAATGGGGTTTGGTGAGCACAATACAATTCCTGACAGTGACCACAACAAATTACCATTCACATTTTAATTCTTAGAATAAGAAGAGGCATAAGAGAAGAAAAATGCCAGAATTAACCCAAAAGCTTCAAACCAAAATTTAGTTTCCAAAACCAACTGTCAATATAAGGGAAACCCAACAAGGAAGAGTTAAGGCACTTAAGGTTTAATATAAAACGTGAATTGTAGATTGCAATATCAAAGTATATAAAATCCATCAATAAATGAATCATTTTTCATAAAATATTGCCTAAATCGGCAAATTGATATATCAAAATATATGAAATCCAATCACTAAACAAAATATAAAAGGAAAAGTACTAACCTCGTTAGGGGTTTACTCCAAATCTTCAAAATTAATCAATGCAAACACAAATTAGGGCTTCCCCTGCGGTGGAAATGGAAATCTCAAAAATGCTGTAAACATTGGTGTGCCGACCTTTTTAGGCGAGGGAGATCGAGCAGAGTCATCTTTGAAAGGAAATCTCTTATGGGATGCAACCGCAACAAGACTTAATTGATCCATGAGAGACGGCGGAAAGACCGATTTGCAAGATCAGGGGTTTGATGCCAAAGTTTCCTTTGAATGGGAGGAATGGGGTTAGGGCTTGGATAATAGGGGCTTCGAATGAGAGAGGGAGGGTTAGGACTTGGATAAAAATGATCTCTGTTACACAAAGATTGCTTCCACGACACCAGACTACTTCAAATCATAGATAAAAGGGATTCGATAGAAAGAGGGTTAGGGCTTGGTTCATTTTGGAGAAAGAAAGAATGCGGCATGTTCGCGTGTACTAGTCATGGAAAGACCGACCCCAGTTGTCAAAGATATCCCCGCAAGAGTCTCAATCGTCGCCTGTTTTGATCGAAAAGGGGAACATCGTCTGAGCTGTGTATATATCGACAGTAAATGTTTTGTAGAAATGCTTCTTCTGTGTGGGTGTGTGTATATAATAGTTTATTTTTTATTTTTTTTTAGATAAAAATATTTAGTGTGTAAGAACATGTGTGATGTGTCAATTATTGGAGGGAATAATTCCCGCCTGTGGAGGTGGGGAAAATTTTAGCTTTCTATGCGTTTTTTTTACTAAAGATTTCTTTTTTATTTTCCACAATTAGTGGGAATAATTCCCGCCTGTGGAGGCAAGGAAAATTTTCACTTTCTATGCGTTTTTTGTACTGAGGATTTCTTTTTTATTTTCCACAATTAGCGGGAATAATTCCCGCCTATGGAGGGGGAAAGTTTTTCACTTTGTACCACGATTCAAGTAAAATCGTGATAGAAAGTAATCTTTTAACCATAGTTTTAAAAGGACCATGGTAAAAAGGATCTTCTACCACGCAGGGTCGGCCTGAAATCTCCAAAATTTTGAGAGGCCCTAGACGGACTTTCAAATATGAGGCCCTTTATAAAGTTTCACACGCACAAAAAAATTATAAGAATGCAAAATTTTTATTAAAATAAAATGATAAATACCTAAAATATATTAATGTTGAAAAAACACAAAACAAAACCCGGTCTTGGTACTTTATAAAGAGTACGATCCAGTTTATATCAAAAATTAAAAGAAATATTCAACACAACTTAGTCTAAAAAATCAGAATCTAACTTCATATCAAAGTAAATATGGCCGTCTTACATTTTGAGGTACAAAATTATCAATTAAAGTGTTCCAATTAACTTTCTCCAACATATATTTTTCAATAGATATCATAACCAATCCATTCAATCTCTCTTATGATATCGTCAACTGTAGGGAAGATTTGATCAACTTCAACTTTGAAAACTTCTCCCAGCAGATGCAACTATAATTGGGATAGTCAATAATACTCTATATGTAATCCAAGCATTAAGAAAATAATTACTTAACCTTTTTATAAAATCAAATACTTTAATTGTCTTTTTTTGTTCCTCTTAGTAAAGTTTCTCTTAAGACTTATAACTCTGAAAATAATTTTGTCTCATTAATATTAGAAACCATTTCATTTTAATGTCTAGTTGTTGTAATTTATTGAAAATTAACAGAAAAATAAGTTACAAATTGATCAAGTGAAAGATCAGGATCGGCGGATGTTTGAAATGGAAAGTCAATCTATCTATATGTGTGTTTATATTCTAAAGATTTAGGAGAATCTTAGAATCCAAACATAGATAATAATGATGATAATGATCCATTGAGGGCGGTTGCTCTACCTGCACCCGAGTTTGCAGCTCGGGTAGGCATGGTGGCTTGAGCAGCAACGAGGATGTTATAAGTTTGGATGGGGGAGAATGTAACAAGGGTCATTTGTCCCACATCGGATCTAGTTTTTATAAAAATGAACTAGATTTCACGAGTCCAGTGTTAACTTGACCTTGAAGGAGCACAGACCTTTTATTCACTCTTCTGTGCCACCCGAGGTGTGTGTACTTTGTTATAATCCTTCTCATCATGTCAAGGATTATTATTATTATTATTATTATTATTAATTCTTTTTCTATAAGTTACGTTGGCAACATTTGCAGTTTGTATAACAGTCTATGCAATTTATATATTTTAGACCTATGTCATTGTTCCCAATACTTATAAACATGTTCAGGATTACTTATACTTGAAAATGGGTCATTCGAAACACTACTGCCTAAGCGATGATATCAGCTATGTGAGGAGGATTGTGATATCCCACATTTTTAACGCATAAGTTGATCAGGCTTATACACAAAAAATGGGAGATATCAAAAATAATTGATAATATACAAGCATAGAATACAGAATGATAATAATGAAAGAACTTAAAGAGGAAAGGAACTTTGAATAATATAATATTTATCCATCATTAAATAAATACTTCATTATACAACTTAGAAATCCTGTATCTAGGATCCCTAAATCCAAACTCAAAAAGTCCAACGTCCGAAATAAGTAAAACGGAAATCCAAATAATATATAAAACTTATGAGTTCTAAGAGAAGAGTTAGAAAATAACTTGCCTGAAGGTTTCGAAATGAAACTGATGCTTCAAATTTTAATTGTCTCTTCCAATTCTGATGTCCTCTTTCTCAGATCCGGCCTCCTACTTGTCAGCCTTCTCTTCTTCTTTCTCTACCTCTTTTATTCGTGTAAACTTTTAACCCTAAAACCTTATGTGTATATTTATACACATTAAAATTCAAATCCTATTCCTACTAGGACTATTAAATAAAAGAAATAATAATTATCTTAAATAATATATATACACATATATTATATAATATATATGTATATTTCTTTTCATGATAATCCTTAACTAATTAAATTATACACACACACACACACACATATATATATATATATGTTTCCTTCCATAATAATTATTAATTAATTATATTTATATACATATAATATATATATAAATATATATATATATATATATATATATATAATTATGCAAAGATAATTATTTAAATATCTTTATAACCATGGGCCCTTATTAATTAACCCACCAAGGCTTCCTTCAAGCCTAAGACCACATCCATTGGTTACACTCCTCTTAAGCCCAATCCAATTAAAATAAAATAATTAAATTAAATCTAATAATTACAAATAATTAACAAACAATTCACGCAAACATAAGTACACACAAATCAAATAGACAATTTAATCTTAACATTCCACAAAGCAAAACACCATATCAATTCAACAAATATACTAACGAAATATAATCTAATTAAAATAAGATAATTAATCTTAGCACTCAATTAAATAAAACAAATCATTTTAAAAATAAAAAAATAATAATTAATCCCAATTAATAAATCCTTTATATATATATTCTCTTATTTAAATTTAAATATGAATTATACAAATTACCCCTTAACTTTATTATTAGAATAAATTTATCATTAAAAAAAATTATAACTATCATTTTATAAAATAATTAACTTATTATTAGAACATTAGGGCATTTTTGGCAATAGGTGGTATTAGGTACAAAATATAATTCAAGGGGGTTATTGGCAAATTCAAACATAGTTCAGGGATTTTTTTGCACTTTACCATATATTTATATATATATACACACTTTTATATATTAAAAACATACCTTATGATAAATTTTAATTTTTCTTATTATTTCCCAAACAAGTATATGGTGACAGAAGGCCAATTTGTGACAAGAATTTACTCTTTTGTGACGAAATATCTTTTGTCGCTAAAAGATAGAAATTGGTGACAAATAACTTGTCACTAAAAGTCTATTAATTGTGACAAAGTGAGTTTTGTCACAATAATTCAATCTTTTGCGATAATGCATCATTTGTCACTAGAAGATTGTTTGTAGCGACAACAATTTTTGTCGTTAAAATGCTATCAATTGTGACAAAGCTATATTTGTCACAATAACTCAATCTTTTGCGGCAATGAATCATTTGTCACTAAAAGATTGTTTGTAGCGACAACATTTTTTGTCGTTAAAATGACACCAATTGTAACAAAGCTATATTTGTCACAATAACTTAATCTTTTGCAACAATGCATCATTTGTCACTAGAAGGTTGTTTGTATCGACAACAATTTTTGTCGGTAAAATGCCATCAATTGTGACAAAGTTATATTTGTCACAATAACTCAACCTTTTGCGACAATGTATCGTTTGTCACTAGAAGGTTATTTGTAGTGACAACAACTTTTGTCATTAAAAGGCCATCAATTGTGACAAAGCTATATTTGTCACAATAACTCAATCTTTTGCGACAATGCATTCTTTGTCACTAGAAGGTTGTTTGTAGTGACAACAATTTTTGTCGTTAAAATGCCATCAATTGTGACAAAGCTATATTTGTCACAATAACTGAACCTTTTATGACAATGCCTCATTTGTCATTAGAAGATTGTTTGTAGCGACAACAATTTTTGTCGTTAAAATGCCATCAATTGTGACAAAGCTATATTTGTCACAATAACTCAACCTTTTGCGATAATGCCTCATTTGTCAATAGAAGGTTGTTTGTAGCGACAACAATTTTGTCGTTAAAATGCCACCAATTGTGACAAAGCTATATTTGTCACAATAACTTAATCTTTTGCGACAATGCATCATTTATCACTAGAAGGTTGTTTGTAGCGACAACAATTTTGTTGTTGAAATGCCACCAATTGTGACAAAGCTATATTTGTCACAATAACTCAATCTTTTGCGACAATGCATCATTTGTCACTAGAAGGTTGTTTGTAGCAACAATAATTTTTGTCGTTAAAATGCCATCAATTGTTACAAAGCTATATTTGTCACTAAAATCTAGTTAATCGCGACAAAGTTATATTTGTCACTATATTGTAATTAGTTGCGACAAATATTTGTCACTAAAATCAATTTTATCGCCATACGCTTTCCCGCTACAGGATAGATATTGCAACAACTTTTTGTGACAAATTTGGTTTTTGTCGAGTAAAGTAAGCTTAAGGCGACAAAGTTACTTTTTGTCACAAAAGGGCATTTTATTGCAACAAATTCATCTTGTCGCTATAGTTTTTGTCACCAAAGACCAAATTTGTTATAGTGGGTACTGATGTGGAGCCTAGACTAACGTACATTAGTGCACTGTTAGAAAAAGAATTACAAGCCGAGGTGATCGGCATGTCAAAGGAATACAGTGACTGTTTTGCTTGGAATTATGAGGAAATGCCGGGTTTGTCCAGAGATCTGGTGGAACATCGGTTGCCCATTAAAAATGGCTACAAGCCATATAAGCAACCGCCTCGCCAAATGTCTCAAGAAGTGGTAGATAAAATCAAGGTGGAAATTGAACGTTTGCTGGATGCTAGTTTCATTCGAACTACAAGGTATGTTAAGTGGCTATCAAATGTAGTTCCTGTTATTAAGAAGAATGGCAAATTACAGATATGTGTTGATTTTCAAAACATAAACTCGGCAACCCCAAAAGATGAGTATCCTATGTCGATAGCCAATCAATTGATTGATGCAGCTGCCAAGCATGAAATCATATCTTTTATGGATGGAAAATCAGGCTATAATCAAATTTATATAGCCAATGAGGATATCCCAAAGACAGCTTTCAGATGTCCAGGATTGATTGGAACTTTTGAGTGGGTGGTAATGCCTTTTGGATTGAAGAATGCTGGTGCTACATATCAGCGAGCTATGAATTCTATTTTTCGTGATATACTCAGCAAGTTTATGGAGGTATATATTGATGATGTGGTGGTGAAATTGGCAACAAAAAATAAGCACTTAGTTCATCTCAAAGCATCTTTTGAGAGGATGAGGGCTCATAAATTAAAAATAAATCCAATAAAGTGCGCTTTTGGAGTATCGGC